GCGTGTTAAATTTTTCAAAAATCTGTATCATTGGGCAAAAATTTAGTCCCAGTTCCATATAGCGACAGCGAATCTTTTTTAAGGTCGGATGGGTTTCAGAGCCAGCTTTTAGCATCAATACCAATTTAATGTTCCTATTTTGGCCTCGTGAATCACTCCATAGTGAGTCTTCGGTGCCCACCGCCTATTCGTTATAATGTGCCACAACAGACACGAAACGTTTTTTAAAGGACACACATCAAGGCCGTGCCCGAGACGTGGACGGGGCGTGTTAGTTTGTATGAACTGCAGGCCCGTTCCGGCGGCGGCCCGTACACGGACATGTGAACGAGTTCATACAAAATATACGTAACGATATTTTTTAGCCCCTGACGGACCACGGCCCGTCCACATTATTTCCAGTGCTTGTGTTGCCAGTGCAATCCTGACTTGAGCATTGAATAGAGTTCTAGGGGTCGTATTCTAGAACTCTACTCAATGCTCAAGTCAGGATTTGAGTATGGTTTAAAGCACTCGAAATCAAACTCAAGTCCCTTCCATTAGGCTCGTATTTCCAGTGCTTGTGTTTCCATTGCAATCCTGACTTGAGCAATGAGTAGAGTTCTAGAATACGACCGTAGAATACGACCCTGACAGTCGTATTCCAGAACTCTACTCAATGCTCAAGTCAGGATTTGAGCAGACTTGAGTATGATTTCAAGCACTGGAAATACGACCCTAATGGCAAGGACTTGAGTATGATTTTCAGTGCTCACTGCAATACTTAAGTCCTGACTTGAGTATTGAGTAGAGTTCTGGAATACGACCCTTCAATGTAAATAAAGATAGTTTGATAAATCGTTTGTAATAATAATTATATTTTTACAACTAGCAATAAAATTTAAATGTCATTCGTACAGCATATTTTCGTTATCCAAAATATTTTCGAATAGTCTAAAAAATGCTCTCCAACGGGTTTTTGAAAATTGCAAGTTCATGTAGATCAGTTTTCTACAGAAAATTTTTTATAAACCGTAAATTGTGTTTGCGGTCTAGTTTTTACAATTTTAGTAATACAACGCCTTTGAGGTTAGGAAAATCGTTAAATTTTTCTGTTGTTTCGACCTATTATTTTGACTGTTTTTAATATTATCCGTTACAGATCAATAGCGACCGTATCTGTCTTAAAGGTTCCGGATAAACCAAGGTCTAATACAGAAAAAAGATATTCTGATAATGCTCTTACAAATGAAACTCTGACAAAAGGTACTGATACCGCTAAGAAACCAGCATTTCCAAAAATCACAGAAAAGAAATTTCAACCAATATCAAGTGAGGATTTGTTAGAAAAATATATCGCAGGACTTTCCACAGATATTCACCTTAAAAATAGGGTGTATAAGAATGATTTGCTAAGAGTTATAGCAAAGGTGAAGAATTTAAATTTTTCAACTAAAAAACAACAGTTGCTTTTGCTTCGTTGCTGTACGGAGTTGCTGCCAGATGAAGCACCAGCCACGAGGATGGCTATAGCTGAAGATATCTGGACTACAATTGAGTAAGCCACTTTTTATATATTATGACCTACATTATACTCAGTAATGGCATAGTATAATAAAACAAGTTTGGTAATTCCATACCAACGTAGCGGCACTGCGTATATGTGTGCTCGCCCACTGAGTGCTGTGTATAGATGCACACTATCACATGCACTCACTTTGCATAGTACTGGTTGTCCCATGCACCTATCATTATGATGTGAATGTGTGTATGTAAACATATTCAGGGCTCTGCTAAAATTGTATGGAGTTAACAAATGTTTTTATTTTTTTAATATACCAAGTGACAGGATAAACAAGTTGTATGTCTGGTAAGTATTATATATCTATTAAAACCTTTTGTTTGTTTTCATTGTAATAACTGGATGAAATATAGTAATAATTTAATTGTTAAATTGTTCTGCAAAATAATGACTTTAATTTGCAACGAGTTAAAAGTTATATTTTTTTGATTTTAGGGTAGTTGAGCACATTTGAAGTGCTCTTAAATATTTTAATAAGCTTTTGTCCTCTATGAAAAATGGAGGAATGCATTATATGTCGCTGTTTTTGCATATAAATATCATTATAAAGTCATTTTCACATTTTTTGATGTTGAAGTTCGGTGTTTTCTTGTAGGTGCAAATAATAAAAATATGTTCTGTTTTTCATTTTCTTATAGTTCCTCATTTAACATTTTCTTATGAAATTTTGTGTATGTTTTCAAACAATATTTTTTGCCCAATTTCACAGAAAACATGCAGATTTTACAGTGGAGCATTACAATGAATTGCTTCGAGTATACTTAGCAAACAATAAATCTATTATAGCAAGGTCATTTATCAGTAAAATGGGAGGTGTCCAGCCAGATAGTACTACATATGATTTGCTTTTAAAAGTACTTGGAGAGGTTTGTATTTTGTGAATATTAAGCGAAATTGATGTTTAAGTTTGATGCAGCAAAGTGCTGGTCTATGTTTTGACATGGCACATACTCTTCTTGCTGCGTTGCTTTCACAGAGACCATGCTTAGTTGGAAAAATATATAAGTAAATAATTTAAGATCATTCATGTCTTAGGTCGCCGTACCTCACACCCCAGCATCAAAGTCTATATAGAGGCTCTCCCTTTAGGCTTAAATGGCCTCCTGACTAGAGCTCTGAGTGGCACTGCAATTATTATGGACAGGAATGTAGCCATCAGGCGTACAACTCGTTCGTCCCATCACTGGATACAATAAAAATAAAAGAAATAATAGAAAACCTCTCCTGGTATGCTGTGGCTTAAATAAGCACATGGTCAACCTCTAAGTGAGACCAAACTGTACGTCCTAATACACACACAAAACTTACTAATGGGCAAACATCGAGCACATACCCTGTTTAAGTTATGCTTATAATAATCCCACCCCTAAATAGACATTCCAACTCGAAATTGTACTCATAATCCTAACAACTGTGTCAACCAAATATAATTTTTTATACTTTGAGCTTTTTCTTATGATAACAATTGACGGGACAAACAAGTTGTGTGCCAAGTTGTGTGCCGTGTGGTAAGCGATATTGCTGTCCATAACAGTTGTAGTACCGCTCAGAGCATTAAATCGCAAAGATCTTAATGTACACTGCCACTGTGCCCGTCACCCTGAGACATAAGTTGACAAGTCCCATGTGCCTGTAATTTCACCAGCACTTTTACCCTTCTAAACTGGAACACAGTAATGCTCACATTACTGCTTTGCGGCAGAAATTGGTAAGATTTCAGTACTTCCCTGGACAACTCTTCCACAAGGAACTCTACTGTTACTAAATATACAATAATGTAATCTATAAGTTATTTATTTGCTACAATAACGTATGAACCATAATGATTACTTTGGTTTTTAGGCTGGAGATATAAATCAATCAACTGAAGTCATTTCAAACATGAAGGCGTCAAATATTCCTGCTACAGAAACCATATTTAATTCTCTTATTGTTTGCCAGGGGAAAACAGGGTAAGCTACATTTAGGATAGTGACTACATTCAATACAATACCCATGCACAAAGAAATATCACCTTATATTAATTAACCATGTACTGAACTAGTATTACACTGCACTGAATTCTGACACAGCTCAATTGGCAATTTATAGTAGCAATTATAAATTGTCTTAAATTAAAAATGTGCATGTCAAACTAGTATCAGAGTTGAAATTTTGAATTTTGACTGGAATTCCTGAAGAACCAGTCCCGGAAACATAAATGGATTTATTTTTGACAACAAAATTGTACTGACAGTATTTTTAAATATTTTCTACAACAATAATAGTGGGCTATAAATAGCAGGTGATATAAACAAAACAATTATACCAATCTAAAAGATTAGATGTTTCGTCTGATCAATTCTTTCGTACGACTAAATTGATCAGGTTTTAGTGAAATACCTCAAATACTTGACTAACAGTAGTGAGTTTTTGTGGGATTTTTTGCTAAAACTTTGTCAAGAAACGTAAATTAAATGGCAGCATTGACATTCTCGCCTATTATAAGCAAAAGAATACATGCTTAACCCTTTTATTGATTGTACTTAAATAGTACCGCACACATAAATGTCAGTATTTTTCTTGGATTTCAATATAAAATGTTTAATATATGTAAATTATTGAATTTTGTCAGTATGATGTTGATACTTTTCTATCGAAAAGCGGTAGACCTCAACTACAGAGAAAGCACTTCGACAATTGCACTATAAAGCCTGTTGTTGGTTTATTGAGATCCGTACAGTGAAACGGAATAGCCCGTACTATCATTGTTCTAATATTTAGTTTTACGATAAATGCTGTTACTGCCCATAAACGGGTTCAAGTGAAAAGTTTGTATCAATTTATCAATGTATAAATAATCTTACAGGAATGTTAAAGCCATTAACGAAGTACTAACAATGATGACGTCTCTCAAAATGGAACGTTCAGCCGATACTTATGTAGCCGTTTTCCGTGCCTTAGCCTTTAATAAGCTGCGTGAAATGTTATTAGAAGAACTAAACAACGCATATCATGAACACAAAATTCATTTTGAAGAGAGGCATATCATGGAGATTGTGAAGACTGTTGCTATAGTTGGAATGTACGATATTGTTCCTAAGGTAAAGTGTATGTCATTGCTTAATTGAATGAACCTTATACTTAAAAAAATAACTAAAATGTATAGGGAGAAAGTCGTGAGAGAATTCACCATGCCGATCTCGCTTTGGCGTAAACATGTGGACTGGCGAAGTGCCATAAATACAGTGCCATAAGTATACCATAAACAAAATACAAATTGAAGCGCAATTTTGAAACAGACAGAGCTTGTACTACGTGATCTAGAATCATCGAGTATACCAGAAATAGAGACGAAATGCCATTTAATTTGTTTGAAAACTGTTCTGCCAAATAATTAGGGTGACAACTGCGCTCCGATTGGCCAGCCCGAATTCGAAACAATTGACGGGTGTCGTCAATTGTTTCATTTGAAATCGACCATTTTAACTTGAGTTTTGCTATAATGGACTAAAATTTAAAAATTACATATTTAATATTTAATTACCGATGAAATGTGATTCCGTTTGTTTTGTAATTAGATGTTTTGCTGTTTTTACTACAACACCGAACAGAACAGCCCCTATAGTTAGAGATATTATCTTTATTACAAAAAATACAGAATATTTTTGAAATATACAGAGACATACACACAGGTCAGTTATTGGCGCTGTATTATTTCAGCTTTCTAATTTGGGATCTCAGTGCAAACGAGTGCAGATGAGTTGCTAGGAATGGATGGCACTTATTCTGGTCAAATGTCTAGAATATTCTTTGATCATGACCACTCTGTCAATATTATCTGACAGATTGTATGAGAATATTTGTGTGATTGACATATTCGTACTCAATCTGTTCGTTCGGCGGTTATTTGGTAATCGAAAAAGGCGGTGTCTTTGAGCGGGGCGTCCACGCAACCTGTCTCGATCGTACACTTGTCTTGATCGCATTAAATTATTTTTGTTTCATTTAATGTTACTTTATGCTCATGGAATCTTTTGAAGGATAAAAATGTAATAATTATATGAAACTAAACAAATCTTAAAACCAATCTCTTTTCAGATCCTCGCATACCTCCCAGAAACAACTTTAAAAACACCATCAATATCAGCTTATATGCAAAGCGTGGCCACCCAATTAGTATTCTTGAACCATCCTGTAATAGCTTTGGAGTTGTACAAGTGTTTGCCATTGCCATCTTTTGGGCCTAAAGATGATCAGGGACTCCACGGACGAAGTTTGGTCAGGGATTGTGTTAAAGCTTGTATAGTGAGTGTTTAATAATTACTCAGTTTTATGTTCTAGTATTGCGAATTTGACTTTACAAAGGGTCAACTTGCTTATCCAAAATTACATCTTAACCCGTTCATGAACCGTACTTAAGCACACAAAAATGTCACTATTTTTCTTTGTGCCGTTGCGCTTATATTGATTCAATATAAAATGTTTAATATTACTGAATTTTGTCAGTATGTTGTTGATACGTCTCTATGGAGAAGGAGTATGTGACAACTATAGAGAAAGTACTTGGAAATCGCACTGTAAAGCCCGTAATTAGTTTATTGAGTACCATGTAGAAGTAAGGTATTCCGTACTCTCATATTCTGTTAACAGGTTTACGATTAACGCCGTTATTTTCATCAAACGGGTGAATAAGGCTTATATTGTTCTTAGGCCGCATTTATTCGACTTCGCTTGTATTATTCAGAGGAATTTAATTGTTGTTGCCTAGTAAATATAATTCAGATACGCCATTAATATACATGAAGGCGTGATAATTAGGCGGTTATCGCGCGAAAACTTTCGTCTCGTGTAACTGGGCGTTCATGAACGTAACTTGTAATTTTTACCTTTATGAATTATTTACATTATAATAAGAAGGTAAGAATAATTTTTCAACTGGATATTGGATAGAAAGGCGTAAAGAATTAGTACATTTCACAGATTCTTTGTGAAATACTAACAACCTTGCAGCGCTATATTACTTACTTGATAAACAACAACTTTTGTTCCATGAAATAAAACTATTTTTCCGGATTTAAATCGCGTATATTTGTTTTTTCCTATGTGTAACAATCGCGAAAACCTAAGAACTCGATATGTTTTGTTCCATGACTTTTGCAAAACATAATGAATTTCCAAAAAAATGTGCTTCTATTATATTTTTATAGTAAGATAGTAATTATTAATACAAACAACAACAAACTAGTGGAATAATTTCACAAAAAATATTGAATATCAATTGAATAAAAATTCAAGTAAGGTTCAAACGTGCGAGCATTTATCCCAACGACTCCCACTCCCGCACAGAGTTTAGAGCGATCTATTTAAATATTTTTATTTTTGTACAAAAGTTAAATCTGGTCAATCATTAAAAGTCCTTGCACAAAATTTGTTGTTTATGATATTAGTAATATAGTCCTGCGAGGATTTATTTTGTAAATAACCTGTGTAGTTGCAATAAAAATTTGAAATTGATAAAATAGTAGACTGAATTCAATGGGGCCAACTTACCTGAGTTTGATCTGTAGGTGTTTATTTATTTATTTAAAACAGGAACATAAGCATAACGCCAAAATTACAGGTTTCCACCTATATATAGCTTCAGACAAATCATACACAAGCATTAAACAAACGAACAATAAACAGTATTTCTTAACATCATGCACTTACACAAATATAACAAACCAATACCTGCGCTAATCACAAATTATTTAATAAAGTTAGGTAAATAGAATGTCCGTGAGGTTACGCTTTAGCGCATCAACATTACGATTGAATATATCAACTTCCAGGTCATGATTGCTCAGCACACTATCCAAGCTCTTGCTAGCTCTACATAGAAAACTATTTTGTCTACAGTTAGTCCTCGCTAAGGGAACTGCAATAGAGTGGTAGTGTCTCATAGAACGAGTAGGTACAATAAACGAAATATCACCCAGTAAATCAAAGCAGTCAACATTACCATTTATAATGTTTAGAATATACGCAATATCAAAGATTTTTCGAGGAATATTTAGCGGTAATAGATTCAGATCCTTACAGAGACGTGACGACATTTTATAGCATAAGAATTTAATAAATCTATTTTGGACTCGTTCAATTCTGTCTAAATAGCTATCAAAGCTCCTAGTAATTTTGCAATCATGTAAATTTGTTTAGTTACTTTTTTCAATCTGTTGCAGCCATCAAGTGTAATAGGTCTAATAACTCAAGAATTAATGGCGTCTGGCCGCAATCCGATAGCGCTAAATAACGCGGCCGAAGCGGCGTTACAGCAAGGAAAATCGCCGCTAGCTTTGGACCTGTTCACTAGAATGAAACTATTAGGTTTGCCATTGAGGCCACACTATTTTTGGCCCATTTTATTGCTGGCGTCCAAAACTTATGGGGAGAAAGGTGATTATAAATTTTTATTTCAATATATATCTATAACCGTGTCTTCAAATCATGAACAGGTTTGTCTTTTAATTTTTCCACATTACAATCGTTTAGTTTTGCTGATGGAGAATTTCTATCAACACCTAATCAAAGCTACACTCGAAAACAAGCAATCTAACATGTTTTGCAACTATACTGCGAATAGTTGATTTATCTTCATAAATCAACTATTCGCAGCAACAATTATAGTTACTGCAATATCACGTAGTAGCAGTAGAGCTCCTCGTGAAAGAGTTCGTCCGGGGAAGTACTTGCACCTTACCTAATTCTGCCTCCAATCAGTAATGTGAGCATTACTGCGTTCCGGTTTTAGAAGGTAAGGTGTGCTGGTAAAATTACAGACACATGGGACTTGTCAACTTATGTTTCAGGGTGACAGGCGCAGTGGCAGTGTCTCTCAGAGCTTTGCGATTTAAAACATCTGACTGGCACTGCAACTGCGTAATACTTAACACCAAGCTTGGTATTATAAAAAAAAAGTGTAATTGACAAGACAACCCTAAATGCTTTTCTTTTGCTTTATATTATATAAAAAAGTGATGGCTAAACGTGAAAATAGTTTGTAATTTATTGGATAATAAAATAGTTGTTGATAGTGATATATCAACGATAGTGATTTAAAAGAATCGGCCATACTTTCTACTGACGTCACAGCCACGGTGGCGTCATAATAGCTACGTACGATTGTTTTGCTAACAAGAGACATAGCGTCCCCCTATCACTGTCTTGTACCATTAAAATATTAAACAACGCATTTCACATTAATTTTTAACACGTTCAAGTGACAATAGAAAAATTGGAATCAAATATCCTGTACTATCTATTCCAGGTGTAATGAATACACTTCAAACGATGCTATCATTAGATGTATCACCGGATTATGATACAATTATGGATTACGCATTACCATACACCAGTTTCACTTCGCCACAGAACTTGATGAAGAAGCTTCTTGACACAGGGGTCACTGTTACATGTGTTCTGACTCCTATGATGGAGACTTTATTAAATACTGGACAAGTTAGAGCTGCTAGTGAGCTTTGTAAGTTTTCTTAATTATAATCAGCCTATAATTAATTTAGTATTCTTTTCGACAAAATTACGATGTCGAAACAGTCACAGATATCGCTACGGTGCCGAAAGCCGAAAACTTTATGCAAGAATGTGACACGTAGAAAAAAATCGTCGACGTAGTAAACTCGAACTGTAGCTTAGTTGGTAAAGCAATGGGACGGAATCCCGTGGTCGCAGATTCGAGTCCTGTCGGGTTGAAGAATTTTTTCTTTGTGTCCGATATTTGTATTTAATAATTAAGTCAGAACTTTGCGTATTGACATTTGGGAACAGAATATTATGAGAATGGGACATTTTGTATTTTTATGATTAAATTATATTGAGTGAGTATATCCTAATAATAAAATAAATTGATTTGGATATATCGCCGTTATACTGGGAAAAACAATTATTTCACAAAATATCGACTTCGAAATAAATGCAATTGAATTTTCAACGACAAATATTTTTTAGGCATACCATGGTCATCCCACGTTAATTTGTAATGGATGATTCCACATTTTATGTTTTACCGAAATCTGAAAACATTGTATATAAGTAATTTTATCGCGTTATCCTATATTAAGTAATTTTCAGTGGTTTTCGCAGTATAACGACAATATGAAGCCATCACGCCTCCTGGAGACATACGGTGTCCCTAATGTTTTTGGTACTGTAGGGTCCTGGAGCCACAGCATTGTAGTGTCTAACACGTTGAGCTGTGATTTCATCCACCATTTAAAAGAAAATATAGTTTTTTTAAATCATCGTGACGGGTGAAGGGTTTGATTATGAAAGTTTGGCATTCACGGAATTTAACATTTTAAAATTAGTATTTTTAGGGTGTTTCATCGAACTTAAAGTAAATTGGATATTTATAGAATATAACATTCTGAAAATTGTACATTTAGGGAGATGAACACATCGCCCGTTTGCCAGAAAAACGTGTTATCTAGAGATAACATATTATTCTGGCAAACGGACGACTTGTGAATCGCACTTTTGATAACTTGTAACCTCTTGTGAAAGTTCACATATCAACGACAATTTGCGACAAGAACAGTCCAAAGCGTCGAGCTTAATGTGTTCTTGACTGTACATACTGGAACTGGAAGGTACTTTCCCTCCGTGCCCCATAGCCGTGAGACTCTCAGTATATAAATGATTTATTGTTATAGTGTGACGTAGTGTATAGTTTAATGCTATAATTTCAAATTCCGAATAACATAATTCATCAAAACCGATTCATTTTCCGCAGGCGAGCTTTTTGAAGGTAAAATAGATGGAGATAGATTAATAAACCCTTTAATAAAAGGATATCTGATAAGTCTAGATCTCAAATCCACTCTGCATATACTGCAGGATTTAAATTCGAAAGCGAGTGATAAAAACAAGGACTGGGTGGGAAGGTTTTTGTGCAATTTCATAAAGAATAGAAAGGGAAAAGGAGATTTACGTGACTTTATAAGTATACTTAAGGTGAGAAAGATTTTTATTATTTTCTGTGCCATCCACATTTATCGTATCCGGCTATGTAATTACGCCGATAAAATTGAAAAAATACTGAAAGAAATTGCAAAACATTTAGATTAATACGTAATTTATGTTTTTAGATACTAATAACAATAATAATAACGCACACACTCAACATAGCTCCGCACTAGGGAAACCCTGAGTTGCGGGTGCCATTGATACACACATAGACAACCACATATTACACTCAAACTCACGAGAGAAATAAATATAAACCATACAAATATTTCATCCCACCCAGGAAAAGTCACTGACTGAAATTAAAAGTTTGGGCCGAAACCCAGTCCAATTCTGCAGGTCGTTACAAATCACAAAACTTTTGCATTGATAACTTCAATTCATTGCCAAATAATACTGTCTATATTCGTAAAGTCTTGAATATTAGTATATTTAAGTACCTTACAAACTTACTTTAAAACAACTGCCTCAGTGGCCGAACGGTTACCATGCCGGATCGCCACGCAGGTTCGATTCCCGGGCCGGGAGAAATATTTGTATGGCCAACATTTATTTCTCTCGTGAGTTTGGGTGTAATTTGTGGTTGTCTATGTGTGTGCCCGTGGCACCCGCGACACAGGGTTTCCCTGGTTCGGGGCTACGTTAAGTGTGTGCGTGTTGAGTGTGTGCGTTATTGATGGTAAGCTACAGCGAACTTATTGATGTTTCACCAAGTATGAGATGATGCCAGCGTTTCTTTATTTCAGAATTTGCGCCTTTCAAATCTGAAGCTGTCCACTTCGGCAGCGGAATTTTGCCTCAGTCACATACCAGAAAATGAATTTAAGGAGAAATTGCCTTACATCCGTGAACTCCTTATTTCTATCACCGACGAGAAATTTATTGACGAAGCCGAAATGTTTTCGCAGAATATACCGCATCCTGTAAGATTTTATAACCCTATGATATTCCAACTTTTTTAATAACATAACTCCTCCTACACCAACACTCACCACACAAACACACTCGCTACACAAACACACTCGCTACACAAAAACGCAGGCAAACACAGGCGTTATTGGGCGCGTTTAATCGACACGAATTTCGTCGCGCTTATACCGCGTGCATATTACTGTCATGGCAAAATATGCTTTATTTATTTAGCTATTGCGTTTTAACTTAAATGAGCGCGCGTTGAGGCTGGCTTGTCTTTCGTTGGTCTACGCGGCAGCCGCCGGTTGTGTCATACCAAGGAATTTATATGTTGTCGCCTAGTAAATAAAATTCAGATTCGCTATTAATGTACGTATCGCGGCCGCGCGAAAACTTTCGCCTCGTGGCGCTTAGGGAGTCACCAAACTTATTAATGAAAAATGATTCTCTATTCCGAGTTACTTCTTTTTTACCGGCTCATCTTAGGACCTGGAAAATCCTCAGCGTCGTATTTCGACTGAACTGCGGTATAATGTTGAATCGGGCCCTTTTTGTAGACACAATACACTCAACTCTACCTGATACAATGTAACCTCTTTTACCACAATCTCAATATTACAGAAACAAATGACCGAAGAAGCGTTGCGATCGCATCTGGTCGAGCTGGAAGCTAAAGGTATGAATACACGCGGCGTACTGCGCAAGCTACTGCAGGAATATTGCAGGACCAACAATTTGCAGGCTGCTAAGGAGATTGTCGAGAAATGCAATAAAGAGGGAGTAAGTTGCTATCTATTCTATGGGTGCATCGACCCAAAACCTCTTACAGGTATGTTTGTTATAATCTGTATAGTCAATAGCAAAAACCGCGGTATGGTGTATGTAATGGTTGGTTCAAAATATAATTTGAAATCTACCATGAGCTTTTCCATGAGGGAAAACATCGTGACGAAACCTGAAAGTCGCGGAAAACGTGTGAAGTTCCCAACCCGCATTGGGCCAGGGTAGCGGACTAAGAAATAACCCTGCCTGAGAGGAAACCCGTGCCCTGCAGTGGGACGTATAAATGGATTGATGATTGACTGTATTGTCATAACAAACATGGACTGAGTGAGTTGCACATGAGGTGAGTTGCAAATGGGACAAATTCCAATTGAAACGAATAACGACCCTGTGACAGCATCTCATTTCAACAATGAAACAAAACACTCTTTTTTTTTTGCGTGGGCAGATCCTCCTAGGATACCTCTCCGCCGCGGGGGCAGCGGGAGGTTATGCGGACTTCTACCGGCTAAAACCCCTCGGTGGCCTTCCCGGGTGCTGTAGTGGGAAAAATCCGGGATCGACTTTGCGCACCGGAACCCCCCCAGCACCTAGAAGGAGCTACGTCCTCCCCCTCCTCTCTTCACGACGAAGAATGAAAGAAAAAGAAAGAATGGCACTCTTGATCCGCCAACATAGCCGCTACTATGCCTGGCGGAGAGAGATCTCGCCCGATCCGGGCAACCAGGATGTTCCGCTCGGAGGCCCATGCGGGGCACTCCTCCAGCGTGTGCTGGGCGGAATCCTGGTCCCTCCCACAGTGGTGGCACTGCGTCGTCGACTCGCGTCCGATCCGATTCAGATACTCACCGAAGCATCCGTGCCCGGTGAGTATCTGTGTCAGTCGGAACGTGGTGACACACTTCCGCTGGCTCAACCAGACTTCGAGGTTGGGCAGGATCGCGCCGACGGCGCGCTGACGCGAGAGACGCGAGAGACGCGAGAACGCGAGGCACGGCTGTTCCAGCCTCTCGCGCCACTTCTCGAACGCCCGTCGGCGCTCCTGCCACCGCACTTCCGGCGGCGCAGCTTCTTCCGCCTGGCGGAGGCGCGTGTAAATACGCGCATCCATCTCCGCCAGAATGAAACAAAACACTCTAAGCTAACCTGCACGTTGGAGAATATTTCATAAAACCATTCGAAGACATGTTAAGGACCTTAACCAACCGTCATTTATGGTGGACTATGGCTGAAAGCCCATCACGGCAAGAGATTCGCTGCTGTCCCTGCCCTCACAATGCTCAATTCTTGTGAGTGTGATCTGCTTGCGTGGCTTTGGTCGGATATGTCTTGTGATTGTATTGTATTGTATTGTATTTATTTATTGTCACATGTACATAGTCAGGTGTTACAAATGGATTGCTTGAGAGTGCGTACAGATCTTGCGAATGCGCCGCAAGTGCGCCTGTTTGCGACAGGCTCGCGAACTGCGCACGTGTACTTTTTTATAATATCAAGTGACGGACGAACAAGTCGTGCGCCAGATAGTAAGTTACACGCCTGTCCATAATAGTTACAGTGCCACTCAGAGCTTTAAATCGCAAAGATCTGAGGGGCACTATTAGTGCGCTCGTTACCCTGAGACATAAGTTCCCAAGTCCCATGTGCCTGTAATTTCATCAGCACCGATACCCTTCAAAACAGGAAAACAGTAATGCTGACGTTACTGCTTGGCGGTAGAAATAGCTATGGTGGCAGCACTTTCCTGGACGAGTCTGGGCTTGTAGCATCTGAACCCTCTTTCACAAGGAGCTCTACTGCTACTCATTAACAACATGTATTAAACTGTACGCACCCTGAGATTCTGTGAAATGATGGAATCGGAGGAAATGTAGGGAGTCGAGTGTATTATTATTGGTTATTTTTTTATTGTTATTTCTTAATTAGCTTAGTTTCACGGTACATTAGTTTCTTAACTGTAATACCGTGTAAATATATTTACAATAAATAAATAAATAAAATCGTTGCCTAGCAATGGAAGGTGCGCTGATTAACACATTCTGTTATTTTATTCAGGTGTTTCTCTCAGCTGGAATGAAAGCAGCAATCTTCGATCTTCATGTGAAGCTAGGAGAGTTAGAGCTAGCGGAACTCGCTCTAGCGGATCTCAACAAGTCCGCGCCCAACTTCATGCTGGATGAATACAAAGTCATAGACTTCGCGACTCTCATGGTGTATCGCAATAAGATTGATAAGGCTTTTGAGTTGATTAAGGAGCAATCCAAAAAGAGGTAAAGTGTTCATACGTGTACGTGGGTACGTGTACTATAAGTTTCCGGAATGAATAAGAAAAAAATACTATGTATATATGGTCAGAAATGAATTTATTGTTTCTCAAATTATTCTCCGTTACAGTTAATGCACTTTTTCATACGAATGAACCAATTTTGAAAACATTTATGCCACTCCTCCTTGACAACCTCTGAAACATATTTTTCATACTCTTCGACAGCCTCTTCGGGTGATGAAAATCGTTGATCGCGTAACTGGTTCTTAATTTTTGGAAATAAAAAGTCACAAGGTGCCAGGTAGGAACTGTACGCGGGATGGCTCATAAGGTCAATGTTGTTCACCTTCAAAAATTAATTTGTCTGTCTGGCCGTGTGAGAACTGGCATTATCATGGTGCAAGATGATACGGAGTTCACGGTTATTTTTACGGAGTTTGTCAATAACTTCCGGCAAACAAATGGTCGTATACCAATCACTATTCACGGTACAACGATTCCCCAAAGCAACAGTAGCCACGTGTCCAGTTTTATTTAAAAAAAGAAGCAATCATCCGCTTAGAGGCACATTGCACGCGCGCCACTTTGGTTGCTTTCGGCTCATTTCGAAAGACCCATTCGCTCGATTGCGGCTTTGTTTTGGGATCGTAACTATAAAGCCATGTTACTGACAGGCGTGTTGCTTACCATCAGGCGCACGACTTGTTCGTGCCGTCACTTGATGTTATAAAAAAAAATGTTTCATCACCTGTTACTATGTCCCACACCAAATGTGACGCTCCTTCGTTGAATCTGGTAAGCATGCCATCGCACCAAATGACGCGATCCGTTTTATGAGCCTCAGTCACATTGTTTGGGATCCACCGAGAGCAAGGCATTTTCACACCTAAATGTTTGTGTAGTATTGATTGTATTTGACTCATGCCTATCCCTAAAGATGCCCGAATCCCATGGTATGTCACATGCCTGTCTGTTTTAATCATACGGCGCGCAGCATCGATGTTTTTGTTGTTCACAGCAGTGGACGGGCGACCCTCACGAAATTCGTCACCAAGATTCACACGACCGCGTTTGAATTCTGCAAACTAGCTATAAATAGTCGTCTTGCATGGTGCTTCATTGCCAAAAGCAGTCTGAAACCGAGGGAAGCTCCGCTGAGCTGTTAACTTACACTTAAAGTCGTAGAAAAATCATACTACAAAAATTTTCACGGGTTAAATCCATGGTGATGTAGACAACCAATTTCTAAAATGACACCACAATGTAAAAACAAGTGACAGTTAGATGAAACAAACTATATTCTACAGCCAAAGAGTTTCATTTTCAAATGTTGTAATTACTTTTTAAATATTGTTTATGTTAAGTGGCCAGTTCCGGAAACTTATAGTGCGCCTTATGTACAACCTTTTCGGAATATCCCTCTGCAGTCGGATTTATAACATTTAATTTCTCTACCTACTTCCGGTGGTAATTGTTATTATTTAAGTAATCGAGTATATTCTCGTGAAATATTAAATACTTTTTCATATTAAGTAATACTTCTTGATAATATTCCAGAATATTTAAATACTAAAAATTCTCACCCAAATTAGGTAGAGAAAACTAACCTGAACATTCATTACCCGACTACTCTTTATTTTGGTTATATTTTTCTTAACTTCCTTGGCATCTTGTTAAGGAGTCAATGACATAAAAATAGTTTTTGTCTCAAAAATGCTCGGAAATGTTTGCATATACTTTCAAAAAACGAACACGGGAAGTGTCATTTGTGGACCGTGTGTATTATGTACGAAAATCCATTACTGTCCACTTCTCTAAATTTTTAAATCTACATACTAATAAATGAACTATGTAAATAAGCAAAAGAAAAACTTATACAGGCAACTGCCAAGTGTTCGTAATTTAATCGTAATTTTGTTTATAAAAATAGGTAAACTAAAGTGCTTTGGTATTCTTTTCTGTATTTTTGGCCTTTTTTCCAAGTTCGTCGCGAAAATAAGTCCTAGTGAGAAGAGCGACAGCGAAAATGCCTACAAATGCTATGTCAAACATTACTTTTAATTAACATATTTTTTACTTTTTCTATTATACATCTTCTTTTTAGGCTTCTATTATTTCCTTATTTGAGAAAATCACTTTCACGGAACGGGGATTGCTTGACTCCTATTAATAAATAATCGTTATGTAACTTGTAACGTCCAGCAATCACTTACTTCCCGGCCTGTGCAATAATGTACTATTCTGCTCTACGTAGTTCACAAGAAAATAAAAAAGTTCGTGGTTCTGAGTTAAAATTATTATAGATTATAAATTTAATAAATACATGGAAATATGTATTCAAGTGCATTCATAAACATATGTATACACTATTGATCGATGGCTTTCTAGAATAGCGGCCTATTTCCATAACATCAGGATGGTATAAAAAATTTACTGATACTGTCGATAGTTAAACATAACATAAGTATAGGGGCTGTGTCCCACGGCTGTGGGACACTGAAGGAAATTATTTTAAATATTGTACGTAGTATATTTTGGTTCATGGAGATATTATTTTATTTGTAAAAGTAACTTTACTACTACGTACTGTACTAGGTACTGCATTGCTCAAAAAGTTGTATATATGAAAAAAGATCCTTTATTTTTCTAATTCCATTGAAAGTGTTAATTTATAAGCATTAATTCCTTACTTTCCTTTTTCCTTTACTGCCTGCGTGACCGAACGGTTACCATGCCGGACTGCCACGCAGAGGTCCCAGGTACGATTTTCGGGGCGGGAGAAATATTTGTATGGCGTACATTTATTTCTCTCCTGAGTTTGGATGTAATTTGTGGTTGTCTATGTGTATGTCCATGACACCCTCGACACTGGGTTTCCCTAGTGCGGGGCCATGTTGAGTGTGTGCGTTATTATTATTACTAATAAGAAATACACACACATAATACTTTAAATTAAAGAATATCGTAAAAGTTTCCTTGAAGTTTAGAAAAATGAATTAAAATACCCATTGATTTATTTTGTGAACATTTTTTTTGCAGAAACGTTATAGGCGGCATGAAGATATCAATGAACTGCTGGCGTCTACTGGACGCGGTGGCGGCTAAAGGCACATATGCAGACACAAAAACCATGTACAACTTACTGTGTTCGCTTGGATACTGCAAACCTACTAACATCATTATGGGCCCATTGATACGTGTGCACCTTAAGGAGTAAGTTTGTTCTAATTTTGAACTCTACACTAAGACGGTCCTCAGGAATTTCACACACTTTGCAATTCGGAGAATTCACCCTCATGAAAAACAAAAATTTAAAATAAAAAATAACGTATAGCTTAGCTACTTAAGCAGTCATTACAAGCCAGTGATTGCAAACAACTTCCGAATCAAGCTATCAATTTAATAAATAAAAATATATTAGAATCAACAAAATTATATTAGACGTAGACATTCTTTTTTGGTAAAATTTACATATGCTTAAAAAAAAATATAAAAAATTATAAATTATATTCGTATTATTGTCCTATATTACTATTCTAGTCACATTCAAAACATAGACAACCACAAATGACACCCAAACTCACGAGAGAAATAAATGTCGTCCATACAAATATTTCTCCCCGCATGGGAATCGAAGCTGGAACCACAGCATGGTAACCGTTCGGCCACGAAAGCAGTTAAATCTGTATTTAAATAAGTGATCTGAAACCGTATCAACAATTTCAAAAGGCAGCAGGTTATACATAGCGTCTCACGGCTATGTCACACGGAAGTAGAGTTTTTACCTTAAATACCGTAGATAGAAAATTTTATTAAAAGAAGACTTCATTTTCATTTAAAAGCAATTCGAGCTGCATTCAAAGATTTTTAAATAACCGCCTATCTGATCCGAGAATCGAACCCGCTAAATGTGAGAACACCTGAAACATGTTAAATGTCATTGTCTTCCTTTTATTTAAGATGCTATGTTATTTAGAAGAAAACAATCCTTACCTTATGATTGAGGCTTTCGATTAGTATAGTAAAATTACAGATTGGTTTTTTATTAATTTGCCAGTATTTAAAAAATACTCTTACGAGTATAATATCACCAATGGAACTGACCAGCGTGTCAAAAGCTCTACTTAATGGCGTCCGACTACGTGGAATGTTACCGTATGGTTGAGGTCTTAAGATAAACTGGTAAATGAACAGATTAAAGGAAAACGCCACTCTAAGTTAACATCCGCACGTGTAATTGTCCTATATATTTTACTATTACTTTCAGTTACTAAATATTATTTGTTTCTTCCACAGTAATAATATAGAAGAAGCAGTGAATGAGTTTGTCCGCATAGCGAACAACTATGGTAAGACACCTCTGAAACACGAACTGCTCTGCAGGATCCTAAAAAGCAACTTCAATGACGGCTCGTCTGAGGATCATTTTATGACGAACGAGAGAGCTAATCGCAGAATGAATAGATCGCTGCAGATCCTGTTGGAAACAAACAAGAACATACATGGAGCCAGCGATGTTCATGTTAGTTTATGTATTATTTGTGTTTGTAGTTCTGTATTTGAATTTTACTTTCTATATAACCTTATAACTCAGACAGATTTACTCCCATTAAGTATAACGAGTGATACTGTTAGGGGTTAAAATCTATATAATTAAAAGAAAAGCATGATAAGTTTGTATGGAATATTTAATGACAATTTTTAATGCGTATGAATACAGCTAAAACAATAGTCGCAGCTTAGTGGGAGAACTGTTGCGTCTTAAGAGTGTATACAATTTCAAATGGCTTTGGTTGATTGCGGATAACAGTGAAATCAATCATTTTAGAAAAAAAATTAGTAAAATTGAGGATATACTTACACTGTTTGTTATACGGTGTGAAAACACGATTCCTAAAAACTTTCACTATGAAAAAAAAACAAATGTACCTCGAAATTTTACAAGAATACGGCTATATTCAATAGGTACTTTTTTACATATACCAATGATTTTTTTTATATCAACAGAAGTAAATAGAGCACGTATACTATACGATATACATTTTTCAAATGGCTTTAATTTCGTTGTAAAAAAATAAATTCTGAAGTAAAACCAGTCCCTGCCGCTCGACCCAAGCAAGACTAAATGTGTTAGTATGGGAAATATTTAAATTCGAGCTGAGGTTGGGTAGTCTCTTAAGAGGTCGATGGTTCGCATCCTTGTGACGGCATGTAATTAAATTTTAAATTCCTTACATTTGTGAATTTTTAGTAGAACCACTCGCTATCAAGTGATGAAACTTACATTCTGTCAGTAGGTATTACAGACTATACCTAAATCCTCTTCATCAAAGACATGTCGTCAGATGTACTCATCGTCACGTATATTGAGTTTACAATAATTATTCTTTGGAAAGAAATTCAGAGAAACAAAATCCATTTTTAACACCTCCAATATACGTATGTACTTAGAATAATAACGCATAGAATGATAGTTTCATATCAAAGGAACTGTCACAAGTGAGGCAAAAATCAAATTCATGCAGGCTAGTTTTAGTAGTAGGTTAATTTTCGGTTTTAGTGAATATTTATATAAAAATACAAGTTGAAACGCGTTACTTCCTTGTGGAATGTGATGTTAGTATCTATTTTATGTTTGTCTGACGTATTTTTACACTAATTTACTGCACACTTCGTCATTTTTAGCTAAAATTCTGGAGCTGTTCGCGGGGCAAGTTGACCTTGAGCACTGAAGGCCCGCCCGCTCGTGTAGGCCCTTAGGGAGCGCTTTAATTTGCCTCACTTAGCGTGTGCGGGCTAGGTTTCTATGCGTTATTATTCTAAGCGTATGTATATATTCCCCGCGCATTGTTCTCTTTTATTTGTAAAAGACAAGTTTGTATGGAATGTTGAATTAAACAACAATTTTAACTCGTAAGTCCCGTAAGTTGTAACGCGTCTATCTCTAACCTAATAGCGACTTATTTTCGTTATTGATGTTTTCCAAAATGACAGGCAAAGCAACATAATCAAATTATTTTTGTGAAAGAGTCCAGGGAAGTACAAGCCACCTTACCTATTTCTGCCGCCAAGCTGTAATCTGGGCATTATTGCGTTCTGGTTTTGAAGAGTAAGGGTGCTGGTGAAATTACGGGCACATGGGTCTTGTCAATTTATGTCTCAGGGTGACAAACGCAGTGACAGATCTCTGCGATTTAAAGCTCTTAGTGGCTGCAAACGTAACTGCAAACGTAATGGACTGGCCTGTAGCTTATCATCAGGCGCACGGCTTGTTCGTCCAGTCACTTGATATAAAAAAAACCTAAATGGTTATCAATAATTACAGGTTTCTTATCACGGTATGATTTTTTTTTAATTTTTCCGATATTTCGCCACGGTTACATGTTCCATGGTCAGGGGTGGACTGGTCAGCAATAATAATTAAAACAAAAATGGTTTGACTTCAGTTTCACGTATGGATATAGTGGTGGTTTGTCGGAACAAAGTGAGTGACAGTAGTAACACCACAAGTAATCGAGATTGAAGGTAGTCGTCGACAGCGAAACAGGGTAGTCAGACATGTCTGTTTTTAAAGTTGACATCTGGCTTTTAACCCGCGACTACAGAGCATGTAACGGTTACGAAATATCGGGAAACTAGTAAGAAACATGTAATAAGTTATAACTTATTAATTTAGTAAATAGCCACGAAAGATTTGCCCAATTTGACCAATTTTCTGGCCTCAAACTAGGGAATTTCCTGTAATGAGTACCAGAACAACGTATTTCACTACCATTTCCAGGTACCCTGGACCTGGAACACCTGGACCACAACCAATTAAAAAAGTTCATTTCCCAAATTGGTTTTACCGGAGATTGAACCCGGGACCTATGCATCTTGCGCCTACAGTGTAAACCGTTGGCCTTATTCGGAGTGGCGGCGTGTGCGGGTACGTGTAATCCAAATGTACGTAGACCCTCGTTGCATTAACAGTGGATCTGTTGGCTGAGTCCGCCCGTACCATTCACAGTGCTTGCTAGCGTCTGTTTGCAATTTCGACGTGTGCATCTAGCGGTTTTAGTCGCTTGGGCGCTGTGAAAGGGAATATGCCAAGACCCGCGCCCGCACCCGCCGCCGCGCCCGAGCCTCTTGTAGTTGGGCTACCTAGGTCGTCAAAGTCTACATAAATGATAAAATGTATATGAACAAAATCCTGTTTAAAAGTCGTGTCACCAATTTTTTATTGTGTCATTTCTTTCTAGCTCACTCTTATAGCAGCCCTAGCAGACGTGGGTCTTAAGAAAATCCTTCGCAAAACACTTCTGGATCCACAAGTGAAGTTCCACCCCGACGCGTTGCTACGTCGCTGCGAGCGGTTCGCCGACGAACGTAACGTGAGGGCGTTAGAAACACTGGCTGAGTGTGCTACTGACCTACGCCATATTGACGTCACGGAGATTTACGATTTAATTCTGGATATCCATCGTGAGTATTCTATATTTCGCTACACATGCAAAGATTATATACAGTGTGATTTTTATTTTTATTATTTTTAATTTGCCTGGCATCCACACCAATTAATCACCTTGTCTTAAAGTAGAGAATTTCCTGTACTATATTTACCAGAGAAACTAAATTCCCTCCAGGGGCACTACCTCGAACACCCAGTTTTTAGTACTTGTCTATGTGTTTTGGTGTGTTTAGAAAAGTTAGTTTAAACTACCGAAAATCGAACCCGGTACCTTCTCATCCAACGCCCACAGTGCAACAAACCCTAGAGACACCAAGGTCATACTGGGAAGATATGGAAATAATTTTGGATATTATAGTTAAATTTTTGATCAAATGGAAAAAAAAAATTTCCATGAAAATGAATAAATTGACCATCATTTTTATTACGTGAATCGATTTGCTCTCGTCTTATATTTCATTTTATCGTAGGAGAAAAATCTAGACTTTAGAAGTTTGTCAAATTTTGATAACAAATGTATCATATATTTATTACTATAACATTAGGAATGAAAGATAGGTCAGAAAAAGGTGTTCCTAGTCTGTAGATACATGTATAGCTAAAGGGAGTGACATAGAGTTGTTAAAACCAATAAATATTAATTAGTAACTTTTTTCAAATTCCGGATTTTCGGAATTAGTTTTACTGCAACAAGGGAGGGGCGGAGAGTCCAATGGAGTGGAATCCGTTACTTTTTTATTTTCTGGTAAAAGACCAGTTATCTACTGCATTTTTTCATGGCACCGTTAGAATTACTTTAAAATCCAACTTCGAATTCCTAGGTAAGTAGTTTTGTCCTGCGTTGCAGTAAACCATTTCCGGAAATCCGGAATTCGAAAAAAGTAATTAATTGATATCTGGTGGTTTTAACAACTTTATGTCGCTACTTGTAGCTATATCTATATATGTGGAACACATTTTTCCGATCATTGGTAATTAGTTTCATTGCTTAGCTCTATAATGGAACTATTAGCATTACCTATATATTCCGTTAGTCTATATTACGCAACAATGGAACTAGGCAGAAAAGAAACGCGGTACGTCTATTATGGGTCTAGACAGTGGAACAGCTATCATCATTCCATAGTTGCTACACAATAAGATGACAATGACTGAAAATCCAGGTAGTGGAGATCTTATCTAGTGGAGAATTTATCCCTGTAGAATATATGTGAAGGCTTGCATGGGATGTCGGTAATATAGTCCTGAGAGGTTGTTAGCTTTTTAAAAATAACCCTGCATTAGTTGATCGTGTAACAACATACTAATGAATTCTCCAATTTTTTTCAGAACGCGAAGATGCCTGCGACAAGGCACTAGATCTATTCAATAAGATGCAAGACATCGATATTACGCCCTCGCAAAAATTCGTCCGCAATTTGCTTTCACTGTTAAAGTCGAATAATAAGAAAATTCCAAGTGAACTGTCTGCGTTTATGACCAAAGAACAAACGACAGCTCAAAAAGTGTAGACGTTTTCGTTTTTCTCGAGAAAATACTTATTGGAAGCTTTTTCTTGTCATATAGTATCTGTATAGTACTTTCCGTACCGTTGGTCGCTGTATAAAGTACAACTTTTTAAGAATTATTTTTACAATGTAAAACCCAAATGTTATAAATTAAGAGTTCTATTTAATGTGTCACCAATAAGTGCGTGTACGTGTTAATTTGTCAATGTGTAAAACGTATTATGTGTAAATAACTGCAAATTAAGTTATGATGTTTTGTAAATAAATTAGTAATTTATATCTGTGATACTAAATTATTATTGTTGCATTGAAATAAATAGTCCAAGTGTAAAATTTAAAGTTTTATTTGAATGGATAAAATAGAAATACATGCAATAGTGGCATAGTAGAATAAGATTAAGTAGAGCAACTCCCGCCTATTTGGCGCATCATACACTTCATTGGGAGCGCAGGGTTGTCACATTATTATTTTAGTTATAACTACAGCTTGTAAACATAACTTGAAAAACAAAAAAAAAAATCAGTGATTTCGTGCCATATTGAATTAACGTTTGTAAAATGTAATCTCGATTATGGGAGTAAGGTTCCGAAGTAGGAATGAAATGCGAGTTTAGTTATATAAGAGTTATAAGTATACGTAATGAATTATTTATAAATCAAAAACATTATAAATTTGTCGTTGAAAAATATTTTTGTCGATTACGATTTAATATTGCTGTCTAATGTGAAATAGATTCTGGTGCGAATAAATATTTTTTTTAAAGTTTTTCGGAAAGCTTGGAGAAGGTGATGAAACTTCAACATCTTTGAATTTATTATAAAATCGCCATTCCAATATTGCGATTTGTGTGCGACTTATCAAAGGCCTCTCGGAAAGTGTTCTCCATTGTCTCAATATTTTTAACAAAATCGTCAGGTGGGACCACTGGTGACATAAAATCAGGTGCATTATTTCTGTAACTAAGGTATCTAGGACTCCGCGCTTAAAATACAAGAGCTTCTGTATACGATTTCATTAGTTCGTAATCTTTGTGACGATTTTTTATGTAGATTGCACTTTGAATATTGGACTGAGGCATGAAAAAATGACCTTAAATTCAATTTCTTCTGTGTTGCATCTCTTTCTTTAGTTATAATTTTTAATTTTGTTTGTTAATTTAAGTTGGTTTTTGAATTGAAGCAACTAAAAAAATATAAAAGCATGCTCACTGCGTCTTCTTAAATATAATAAATAGATTTAAGAGAAATCGCTCGGCTACTAAATTATTACTATTCGTTTTTGGGTGTTTATTTTGCATACACTAGACATAACGTGTGAAAAGAATAAAACACATCAGCAAATGACGTGACCGTGCCTTTAACATTCTCTTAGTGCAAACTCCGGCGGTGTAGTATACAAGCTCCTCATCTAACGCTAACCACTGGGAACCAAAGTCATCAAATAAACAAATAACTAAAATTAATGTATTATATTATATTATATTATATTATATTATATTATATTATATTATA